CATCCACGGATGGATGTCCTAATCGTTTATGAAGAACAAGAGGATCGATGTTTGCTACGAGGGCTGACGCTGGAGAGGAAGCAAAGACATACACGCCGTTTCGCAAATCACCCTGTCCAATCACAATCTTCGACGAATGGTCCTGTATTACACAACGATGATCATTAAAAGTTACACAACAAGTATTGTCACGAATTAAACAAGCAACAGAAATCAAGTGGCACTGTAAGTTTGGTACATATAACACATTACGTAATACCAAACTAGATGATAAATGCACACTCCCTTGTTTGACAGCTTGAACACGAGACCCATCAGGGAGACATATAGGTTTAGGAGAAACATCCTCAATATTAGATAAATGAAACAGGGTTCCTGTCATATGATGGGAAGCACTATCAATCAACCACTCACAAGAATGAAGAGGCATACCACCATTATCACGAACTGTATTAGACGACATTGAAAGATTTAATATTTCCAATAATGTATAATGTGAGATTACAAGTAAATATATACTAAGAGAATCCTAGTTATGGTAGGAATACAATAAAGGTAATCTACACAAGAATGGTAACTAGAATATACACTAATATATGCATAATATAATAAATATAGAGTTACTATATTTAACATGCTCCCAACGGCACTGGTGATGATTTCCGGATCCCCAAACTATCCCGAAATTCTGTAAAGATCATGGTTGGGAGTCCCTTTGTAAAGATATCTGCATACTGTAATGAGGAAGGAACATGGAGAACACGTATATGGCCGAGAGCAACCTTATCTCGAACAAAGTGGATATCAACCTCGATGTGTTTTGTGCGCTGGTGTTTGACAGGATTAGCTGAAAAATAGACAGCACTAACGTTGTCACAGAACACCAGGGTAGAACGGCTGATAGGTTGCTGAAGTTCCTGGAGTAAGTTACGCACCCAACTAACTTCAGCTACTGCATTCGCTATGGCCCTGTATTCCGCCCCCGCACTTGATCGGGACGTGGTTTGCTGACGTTTGGTTGACCATGAAATAAGATTGTCACCAAGGAAGATGCAGTAACCGGTCGTGGATCGGCGTGTGTCAGGACAACCGGCCCAGTCAGCATCTGAGTAAGCCCGCATAGAATCCGTGGGAGACGGAGAGATAGAAATGCCGTGAGAGGGAGTCCCATGGAGGTACCGTAGCACCCGTTTCATTGCGGTGACATGCGGGGTGCGTGGATCATGTAGAAAGAGGCACAACTGCTGGACGGCATATGTGATATCGGGACGGGTGAAGGTGAGGTACTGTAGTGCCCCTACAATGGACCGGTACAGGGTGGGATCCGGTGCTGGGAGGCTGCTGAGGCCGAGAGCTTCCCGCGAGTATTAGCTGGTGTGGAGATGGGTTTGCAGGAAAGCATTCCTGCACGCTCAAGAATGTCATAAAGGAACTGAGTCTGAGTAAGAAATAACCCATGAGTCGTGCGCTGCACATTGATCCCCAGGAAAAAGTGGAGGTCCCCCATATAATTCCCCTTTTAGCTGCTGCATGATGCTCTGAAGGAGTGCCTGGGTGGAGGCTGTGAGAATGATATCATCGACATATAGAAGCAAAAATGCCATCTGAGACCCCTGGCCATAAGTGAACAAGGAGGTATCGCTCTTGCAACCGCGGAACCCAATGGAGAGGAGGAAGCCCGTGAAACGCTGGTACCATGACCGCGGTGCTTGTTTCAGACCGTAGAGCGCCTTGTTTAGTTTGCAAACATAGTGAGGACGAGCAGGATCCTGAAACCCAGATGGTTGAGCTGTGTAGACAGTCTCTGTGAGAGAACCATGAAGGAAGGCGTTCTTGACATCCAGCTGGTGGATCTGCCACCCTCGAGAGACGGCCAAGCTGAGGATGATGCGTATGGTCGCGGGCTTGACCACCGGGCTGAACGTCTCATCATAATCAATGCCATGGCGCTGATTGAACCCACGGACAACCCACCGTGCCTTATACCTGGACAGTTCACCTGTGGGGCTAAGTTTGTGCCTGAAAAGCCATTTGCCAGAGATAACATTTTGGTTGGGGGAGGGGGG